GGCCTCTGCACCCTCGCCACCCCCGCAGTGGGACCCGGTGGCTCTGCCGGTGGGTCGTCCCACACGAATCCAGCGGCGTGCGGGGGTTTTTATATGAAACTTAACTCGTGCTTGACAGCTGTAGCGTCGGTAAGGAGTTGTATTTTGGGGGTCTGCTGTGCTGGAGGAGTGACAGCGGGGTGGGATGGGGGGGTTCCTGAAGGTGGTTTTTTTCTTAAAAGCTGAATCTCTAGGTGTGCCGTTGTGTTGTGACCTCCTGTAAGAAATCTGTGTTAAATACCTGCTCTGCTTTGCCTGTTCCACATACAACACCCAGCTTTCCAGTACGTGATGCGGTGGAAACGTCAACCTAAGAGTCAGAAGCACCTAGTTTCTGGTTCTTCCTTCTCAATAAATATTTTTTTCTTCAGTATCTCAAGTAGAAAATGTTGCTAAGAACAACCGCAGACACTCCTTTATCTTGGTAGGTGATGCAAGATGAGTGAGCAGACCTGGCAGTTGTTTTGTGGATGAACAGTGCTGTTTCCTTTATTTGCACAGTTACTCTCCAGACCGTCGATCTGCATGTGTCAAAAATTCCTGACAGTTGGCTCTAGCTTTGGTACAAGACCACACAGTTGTTTTAAACAAAAGCAAAACCTCGAGAAATATGTTACTGTAGATGGCAGAGACACTGGGTTTTGGCAGCAATTTAAGCAACTGAAAGTCGGTTGCAGTTGCCGTGGAATTGTTCTGACATGTTCATGAACTGTTCCTCCACAGTGGTGCTTGAGAAAGACAGGCTGAAGGACCTGTGTTAACGTAACTTCTTTTCCCATCATACACAGTGCATTTTGACAAGCACAGTTAAGCTTTCTGGCAGTGCTTCTATTAAATTCCTGGTTTCCTGAGCGTTTGAGAGCTGTGTGTGCCAGCTAAAGCTTTTAGGGCAGAGTCGTGGGACTGCAGGGATTGAATACTTCCTTCTGAACAGGCACGACTTGAACCTTCTCTGATGCGTTCAGACAGGGCTGAGAGGTGAAAAGGAGGTTTTCCCTGGTTTGTTCAAAAAGGGAAGCCTTAGGTGGGAGGATCGGCGTCCCAGTGCGGGAAAGTTTAAAGGCATGGTTTTAATTTTGAGTGGAGGGGCGGTCCCACAGAATGTGCTAAAACCATCCACGTCCACAAGACTGTGATTAACGTAGTGTGCTCCAAAAACGGTTCCCAGATAGCTTAAGCTGGTGAAGATTAAGGGGCGTGGAATTAATTTTGAAACAATATTTTGTTTATTGGGTTTTATGGGAAAGGGATAAGAAATCAAGTCAGGTGAAATAGCAAATGTGGCACTGATACTTTTTTTTTTTTTTTTAAATTGGACCAGCTCATGCATTTGGGAAAAGGGGTCGGTTTTGATGAAGGGCCTGATGTCCCAGTTTTATGTGTTAGTCAAAGATACTGCTCTCTCGTCACTTGTCTTTTAAATCAGCATATGGTACATGATACTGTTTTGCTTTTCTGTGAAGCTGCATGAAATTGCTCCGTTGTTTGTTAAAACATCTCTTCACAGGATACTGAGATCCTGGTTACAACCACTGCTGTGTTTTCTGGCATGCAAATACGATCCCTTCCCCTCCAGTTTTGCTTTGCTCCTCCAGTTCAGTTTATTCAGTTCCAAAGACTGCTGGATAAACATTGTTATAAAATTATCCTTGAGGTTTGTCTTCTGCCAAAGCAAGGTGCTGGGCAAGCTTTTCAGCTCCCATAAGTGTTGCTGATACGGCTTATTCGTTTATCCTTTTTTTTTTTTTTTCTTTTCTCCCCACTGTCAGTGATACAGGCCAGATAACACTGGAAGTTCTTTCAGATGTCCTCAAAATGTGAAAAGAACAGAGTGTAGCAACCATGCTGCTGGAGTCATTAAGTTCATCAGAATTTTCCACTTCTTTTTTATAATGATGTGGGCTTTTCCTAGCTGCTTCATTTCCAGCCAGTAGTAATATTTTGGATCCTGATCTGTGTTGTTAGTATCACTTGTCTTCTTTTTTTCTTTGACAGTGACAAGTGAGGTTACGTAAACTATGCTTAAGAAACACAAACTGTTCTCATCTCTCTTTTTTGTACCAGCATGTTACTGACACGTTTAAAGTCCTTCATATACCCATGGGCCTCCATGAAAGTGTTTTTTGTGCTCATAAGCATGCACCTGTGACATCCTCAGTACTCGAGCTGGGTGGAACAGTGTGTTGTTACATTCTGTACAGTCTTTAGGAGTTAGGTGGCTCATATTGTTAAAAATCTATGAAAATCTCAGAGGCTGAAGGCTGGTTATCTGTGTCACAGATCATTGAAAGTCCAATTCCCTCCTGCCCAGCTTCATTCAGATCAGTTCAGATCAGATGGGTAGCGTGAAGCCCCTGGACACCATTGTGTCTTGGGCTGCAGCACCCTTTCACTTTTAATCTAAGTTGCATGCAAACAAGCTAATTAGATTTGTATCTTTCCATGCGTGGTGTTTGGCAAGAGGAAGCCAGTTCAGATCACCACGTTTGTTTTCCCACCCCACCTGCTGAGCTAGCACAGAACTCCCAATTTCAGGGGGGGAAAGCCTAGCTTATCAGGTAAGGGTCATGGAGTACAGAGCATGCATGCTATACAAGACCGGTTACGTTGTGTATGAGTTAATGGGAGTTTTTATGTATTGCCATAGACCTTGCATCATTCAGAAATGCTCTGTGATCCAGTCTGGGAGTTAAAGACGAGGGTGGTTAGTAGGTCACTGTAGCGCTGTTTTCATTTAGAGGCTACAGCAAGTCCATCCCCATACCTGAAACCTTTGGCAGCTGTGCTGCTGAAGCTATGGCTGCGTACTGAGCACCCCCCTACGTTTCCGACCGCACATTCCTCATTGTGCAGATGATTAGCTGTATTTGTGCGTTTCCTTCTCCTCCCCGCTGCCTTGCTCGCTTACACACAATACCACAGAGCAACCACTCACCAGTGGGTCAGAGCTGTGCTCGCCAATATCACTGGCTCCACATTTAGGATTGTTTTGATCTCTTTGAACCCTGAAGATGGATATTGTAATCCTTAACATACAAAACATGCAAATTTACCTTCTTACAATCTGTGAGAGCAAATCTGACATGTAGCTGAAAGGAACAATCCTTTCTTGTCCTAGGAAAGCACCCCGCTGCAGGTGAGCGTTGGTGAAAATGGGGGACACAAGAGACATCTGTCCTCACCTGGATTCCATAGGAGAGGTGACCAGGGATGATCTGCTGCTCAAATCCAAGGTACAGCATGTTCTGGTTGTCAGTCCTTTCCCTTTTAGCTATTGTGCATGGCTTTGCATGTTTGCTTTTTGAAAAAAATGCTGCATATCTCCGTAGAGGAGAGGCAGAAACTCTTCTTCCAATGCTGATGTACCTTGTACGTGTCCTATAAATTAAGCCTTTGTCAACCCCATCTGATCTGTTTTTCCCTGCCATTTTATCCTTTCTTATGTGTCACTTAACTAAAACGCTGCAAAGTGTATATTTAATTGGGACTGTGATATTAAGAAATGAAATACTGTGAGCTGCAGGTTGGCAAAGCCTGTCTTGTAGAGAAGTTTCCCACTCTTGAAGGACTAGGTTACTTAAAAAACAAACAAGCAAACAAACCTTCTTTTATCATGAATATGCAGGGAACTTGCCAGTCTTGTGGAGCTGTGGGACCAAATCTCTGGGCTTGTCTTCAGGTAAAAATGGCTTGCTATTTGTGTGCATGATATGGTGGGACTTCATTTAAAAAAAAAAAGAAAATATTGTACTGAAAAAAAAAAGAGTGGTAAGCAAAAAGGGGGTTCACAGTAGAACTATCCATCCTTTTTTGATGGATTCCAAGGAAGAAGACTCCCTACATTAAAGGCTAACGCTGTCAGAATATGCCAAGATGTAATAGTTCACTCCTCATAGGTGATTGCCCACCGGTAGTCCCCATAGGAATGAACAAAATGCCCAGCACTGACTGGTGCTGGGTCCTGCCTCTGCTGCAACTCTGAAGGGAGGCTGCAAGTGTGAGACCTCAGAAGATGTTGCTCAGGGCAGTGAGGTGGGAAGGAATGACATGGGGCGTGCGGGCGGGCAGGGGCCGTTTGTTTTTGCACTGGAATGCCCTGATGTTTTGGGACTGCTCAAACGAGCTGTCCATTGGAGCAGGTTCCTTGGAATGGAGCCTTTACATGGGTGCAAACCTGGTTCCAGGTTTCCTTCCTTAAATCAAACAATTCCAATTTTCCATCTTATTCTAGGTCCTGAATAAAAAGCAAGTTAGAAAACTGGCAATATCAGTTCTGAAGTTGCAGCTGCTGGTGGGACTGGAGTTGCAGACAGTTTTGTGAGGGGTCTAATTTGATGTGCCATTGTATTTCTGCTCTTTTCTCTCACTAGATTGGTTGTCCTTATGTTGGTTGTGGGGAGTCCTTTGCTGACCACAGCACACTTCATGCACAGGTGAGCTTTTCTCTGTTGTCCATCTTAAGACAGAGTTGGATTTTTCCCATTACCTAATCCTTCTCTACCCTGTTCTGGTAGCCCAGTGTTCCAACTTGAGCCAGCTGTCAAATGATATTCATTATTTCACCTTTTAATTTTTAGGCCAAAAAGCACAACCTGACGGTGAATCTGACCACTTTCCGCATCTGGTGTTACGCTTGTGAAAAGGAGGTGTTCTTGGACCAGCGTCTGGCAACGCACACGCAGGCACCTCCAGTAAAGTTCACTGAACCGGTGGGTCTGTGGCACAGCCTGGCAGGGTTGAGTGCTTGGCAGGGTTTTTTTTTTCACCTGTGCAAAATCAGCTGAGAGGTTTCCACTACTGTCCAGGCTTTTGTTGTGATGGGAACTCTTTCACTGGAAGTGGCTACCTGCAGCCATAGGACCAATAACCTTGGGTTACATGATCTCCCAGCAGGAAGACTTCCAGATGACTTGAACATCCATTCTGACTTTATTTTTAACCTTTCCTAGCCTCTTCCACGGGGCATCTGTTTCTGGGAGGAACCACAACAGCTGTCACATCTTCATTTTCAGTGCATGGCCCATGGAAATTTTGTCTGTCAGACCAGTAACACATACTGGACACTGCTGCATATTCCTGGTGCCTCTCTTATCGTGTGTGCTGGAAGCAGTAATGGCACTAGTTCCACTCCCTCCTTGCATTAGTGAGAAGGGTAGACAGTGCGACTGGTTCTTCTCTCTCCAGAGTGCTTTTTTTTAAAGGCTGTCTTGATTTATGTGTAAGATAATACCTCTCATAACTCATATTTTAAAGCAGGCCTCTCACCGATGCTTATTTCTCTGTCTTTAATCTAGGATTCTCCATTGCCTGCTCACCCTTTGAAAGCTGTCCCAATTGCAGTGGCTGATGAAGGCGAATCTGAATCAGAAGATGACGATTTGAAACCAAGAGGTAACTCGGCATGGAGTTGATGAAAGGGCTGTCGGGGTAACTCTGCAATCTGCAGGACCTGCACTGAGAGGTTCCTAGGAGCAGAGTGTGGAGCCTGCCTAGAAAGGGCTGAATCCTCTCTTTTGGGGAGGAATTTAGAAAGCAGCACTTCTGGAAAGTGTTTCATGCCTCTCTTGTTTGTGCTTTAGGCCTTACTGGAATGAAAAATCTTGGGAACTCCTGCTACATGAATGCAGCACTTCAGGCTCTCTCTAACTGGTAGGCATTAGGGCCTTTCAGTCAAGTCTTTACTAGACTGCACTAAATATCAAAAGTGGCGCCTCTGGTCTGAGACCTTCATGAGTCACGCAAAGAGAAATCAGCCAGGCTAGGTGCAGAAAAAGGAATAGGAAAATTCAGTGTTTGTTTAGGGCAACAGAAGTTTTACAGTAGGAAACTGAGTGAATAGCCAGCTTGTGGCTACATAGAAGACTCAGGTTTAGGTGAGCGCTGGAAGTAAAAATTCGTCATTTCTACTGCAACAGAAATGTCCTTATCGCATGAGAAGGCATGTCACATCTCTTTATTCTCCCCAGTGATATTATTCTAACAACCCATATCCTGAAATATTCTCTAGCCATCCTGCTAAGAACAAATTCCAGAATCTCTTCTCTGTACTGGGAACAGATTCAGATCAGCCTTTCTCATTTGTTTCAAGTTAGGAGTCAAGTCTGCATCTGGAATCACTCTTCCCTCGATTTAAAAACAGTATCTTAAGCATGCTTTTGAAAAGGCATGTACTGAAGTTTTGATAAACCTCTAAACAGAAGCAGAGGAGAAATTTCTATGCACTGAATTCTTCTCTTTTTTTCTTGTAGCCCACCTCTCACACAGTTTTTTCTGGAGTGTGGCGGACTGGTCCGTACAGATAAGAAACCAGCGCTGTGCAAAAGTTACCAGAAATTGGTGTCTGAGGTTTGGCATAAGAAACGGTGAGTGGTCACTTCCTCATCTAACCTGGACAGGTTTCATGCTTCTGTTAGTTCTGAAGTCTAGCACCAGCGAAGAGGGTGTTTGATTGTTGGGAATAAATGCATTGTGTAAGGCAGTCAGTTACCCTGCGTGGGTGGGTATGCAAGGATTCCCTCTAGAGACGATTCTCTCTGGAAGGACAGACTGAAATGACTGTGAGATTTTTTCTGTCTCTTAATTTGCATGGCATCCAGCTAATAGAGAGCTGTATGCCCAGGCTTTGCAGGTGCATAATTATCTTTTTTCCTCTTTAACTAGTTACCACACCCTGCTCTATGGCTTATTAGACAAACTGGCTCCAGGCCTGATAAGCAAACTAACTTTTTTTTTTTTTTTTATTTCCATATCTAAACAGCCCGAGTTACGTTGTTCCAAGCAGTCTATCCCATGGAATTAAACTCGTCAACCCCATGTTCCGAGGCTATGCACAGCAGGTGGGGCCTCAACAAAAATATGCTCTTATTGCGAAGATGGTGGAATTCTTCCTGCAGCATTGGTGCTTGTGATCAGAAGGAAGAGCTTGAGCTCAGGGGTCATGCCCATTTTGTATCAGTATTAGTGATCCGATAGAGCACTTGGCTGGGATTTAGGAGACCTGAGTTCTCTTTGAGGCTCTGCCTCTGGCTTGCTGGTACCACATCAGTGTGTTTTCTTGTGTCAGCTTTCTCACCTCTGAAATTATGATGGCCAGCTCCTTTATAAAGGGCTTTGAGATCTATTGATACATGCTATATGAAAGTGAGGTATTTATTCATGTCAGAGCTGAGAAACCTGGATAATAGATACTAAAAAGTTAAAGATATGAATGTTCTATATTCTTTTTTCTGGGAAATTACAGCAAACTACATCTTATTTAAAGATATCCTTTTTTTTTTCTTTGAAGTTTTCATCAGCGTATCTCTCGTGCTTTTCCTTTAGAATAAAATGTAAACAGCTAACTATGATTAGAAAATCTACAAGAGAAGTGACAGTACATCTAAGCTGTGATACTGACGGGAAGTCAAAACAGAGGATAAAATAATGATTAATGAAAGAACTTCTATATTTATCTTTGATGTGAAGTACGTTGGATTGGAAAACACTCAGCTGTAAAGAGATAAAGTTGAAAGGAAGACAGGGCAGGCTAAAAGCCAAACTTACATACAATAACAGAAACATCATGATTAACTTTCTGGAGCTGTCAAAATACCAAGTTGCTTTCCAGCAGGTCCTTTGAAGCCAATGTATCAGCTCTTTCACTATGTATTATGAATATAGGAGCTTGCACCTAGACTGTATAGTCTTTGGTTTCTGGTTCCATTCCCTATTTATTAAAGATTTTAATCTGCCCTATTTAAGAGGGAGATTGCCATGAGCAGAATGTTCATGAAATTTGTTTTATGGGTAAGAGTTTATTCTCTGTGGCCTGCTGTCTTCATTAGGTTTCTCTTTGTCTCTTGCCTCTTATCAGGGGTAAACCTCTGATAAATAAGATCATGGTTTACGTGCTACAGCTGCTGTCTGGCTTTTCAGTGTCTTTCAGCTGAAGATGTTCAGATAAAAATTGGGCCTTTTATCATTTAGGAGTTAAAAACATTGATGTAGCAGACAGGCTTCTTATTCCATCACCACAGTACTCTTTCTGCTTTAGTAGCACCTGCTTGTGCTGCTAACCTTCCTGGGCAGCTTTGAAAGAGGCTGTGAATGGAGCCATCTCCTCTTTTGCCCCTCTCATTTGCCCCGTTTCTGGATGGATACTAAAACGGAATTCCTCCTGGTCTCCAGGATACTCAGGAGTTCCTGCGGTGCCTGATGGATCAGCTTCACGAAGAACTGAAGGAACCCATTGTTGCAGAGACGAGGGATTTGGATACCAGTGACCAGGATGACAAGCGAGAGGGTGACCGAAGCCCTTCGGAGGATGAGTTCCTCTCCTGTGACTCGAGCAGTGACAGGGGTGAAGGTGATGGTCAGAGCCGGACCACGGTGGGCATGGGCAGCAGCTCCCTGTCAGAGACAGAGTTGTTGATCCAGGATGAAGCAGGGAGAGGGATTTCCGAGAAAGAGAGGATGAAGGACAGAAAGTTCTCCTGTGGCCATCGGCGCAGCAACTCGGAGCAGGTGGATGAGGACGCGGATGTCGATACTACCATGATGCCAGTTGATGGTAGAGCCTCACCCGAGATGCTCCCAGCTCCCTGTCCTGCCAGCCCGTGTAGGACACCAGGTATACATCCTTCAGTCGTGTTAGTTGTGAGAAGACGTTATCGTCCTGCACAGGGGCAGTGTTGTAGGGCAGTGTCAAACACCACATACCGTGACTGTTCCTTCTATGGGCTTCAAGACATTCGGCATCCAAGATTTTCCTCTGTGTCCCTGGCAGTAGCTCTGCCTTTGTGCACAATTGCTGCTGTAAGAAAATGTAATACGTGAGCCAGAGAGGTGCTTAGCTGGGCTAAAGTGCTGCAGAGCTGAGTAAAGACTATGTCCGGAAGGCAGCGATAGCTGCCTCTGCCAAACCCGCAAACACTGCATTGATGCCTTTTCCTAATTGAAGAAAAAGGGTTTGTCTGTGTACATTGCTTTATCTGATAGGTTGGCCTGGGGAAATATTAGCTGTGGAAAAGGTGTGGAAAAAGCTATTTGTTAATGTTGGAGTATGGGCTTTGTGGAGAGGAGAGAGAGGGGCAGTGTTTGTGCATTTCTGTGTCTTAGGGAAAAGAAAAGAGCAGCAGTTAAGATGTAGGTGTGGCGTCACCCCAAACTGAACATATCCGATCTTTCAATGCTTCTTTATATAAGAGTCTTACTCTGCCAGCTGGCACTAGAGACAGCAATGCTGTTTGTGTGGATTGGGGATACAGGAGCAAGCTGCAAAACCTAATTAGTCATAAGTGTGAAAAAATAGCAGGTTGTTTTGGTTTTTTTTTAATACGTAATTATTAGCTGTTCCGTATAGCTCTGTGTGCGCTCTTACCCGTGCACTGAGGAGCTGTATCTGCCAGCCTGTGCACACAGGACAGTTAACAGACACTGAACTCTTCATCTTAGGAAAGATTCTGTGCTGGAACATAGAGCTGGGCTGACACTGGGTGCCCCAGGGTTGCCTTTCATAACTGGGGTTTTCACCAGTGCTCTTCTCCCTCCCCATTTTCCCAAACAGAACCTGACAACGATGCCTACGTGCGCTGCTCCTCACGCCCCTGCAGTCCCGTCCATCATGAAGTGCACTCCAAGCTCTCCAGCAGCCCTCCTCGTTCCAGTCCTGCCAGGCTTGGACCTTCCTACGTACTCAAGAAAGGTGATGCATGGGGTGTGTGCTGGGGAGCAAAGGAGGGAGCGTGTAGGGGAGGAGGAGTTCATTTACAGAGGAGAGAAGGAACCCATCATGATTCTTGATTAACAGCTATAAGAAGTGCTCATTCCCCTGGACATCAGTGCTTTCTAAAATAGCACTAGGCAAAGGCTACAGCAAACCTGCAGGGAAAGTCAAGCTCTGGGCACAACAGATGCTCTAGTACACTCTTATATTGGAGCCTGAAATGATTTCCATGTCTGCATCTGCATGCTGTGTTTGTTATTAATAAAATGGCTATGAAGTCCCAGGCACAAGCTCTGTCCCTTTAGGGGAGCGTGGAGATGTGTAAACATTTGTCTGCCAGACTTGAATTTCATGTGGGCCAAAGAACTGTAAAATGATGTTACTGAGAGAGAGCTTCCTGCCTCTTAGACATCTCAGGCTCACAATAACAGAATTACGGCTGCAGATGTCAGTCCAGTGCTGGGAGCAGTGCTAGGCTTCAGAGTGGAGCCTGGCTTCTCTTGTTATCAAACTAGTGTCTTCATCCCAAGCAAACTGCAAATTTCAATCCCTCGGCATTGCATAGTCTGCGAGCACAATGGCATGTACTTGTACCACTGTCCCCACAGCTGTTCAGTGATGGCATTCTGTCCTCAGCTGCGTCCCAGCCCCTTGGCTGAGGTCAGCACAGCCACAGATGTTCTGGCCGGATAAAAAGCACTCTTGTCTCCCTGCACGTGTGCGTGGGGAAGAGGGTTTGTTATTAAACAAAACTGTGTGTTTGGCCAGTCCCTGCTGTGGAAAGTCCTCTCCAGTGCAAGACACCTGGGGAACACATGGTACATGTCAGAGGGGAAAAAAAAAAGGACAAATTACATGGTCAGGTGAGGGGGGAGAGGAAGTGTAAAGCTTAGAGCAAAATGTTGCAAGACTTCAGAAAAGCAGGGACTCTCTGTGGCAGGCTAGACTTCTAAACATGTAGTAAGAGGATGGAAACAGGATTTCCAGTAAGGCAATTTCTGCCTGCTGAGAGCTGGCACGTTCGTGTTGGTTCAGTTGGCTGCCTCCCCCTTTCTTGTACCACGCGAAGCAGCAGCGTTCTTCATGTCAGCTTACAACGGGCTCCACGGTCACTGGCATGTAAGTGGCATCTGAACATGCAGGATAGCACTTGTCCTGTGTTCTTGTGAGGCTGCGTGACTCTACTGAGACAGAAAACTGGTAAGGAGTTGCTACATGATGGGTCTTCCTTGTCTGTGTTTCAGCCCAGATGCAGGCTTCTGGGAAAAAGAAGAAAGAACTTCGTTATCGCAGTGTGATTTCTGACATCTTCGATGGCTCCATTCTCAGCCTGGTGCAGTGCCTCACCTGTGACAGAGTGAGTTATCTGGTGGCTGTCCATTGATGAGCAGGGTCTTCTAGATCTCTTCTTAGGAAGTGGTGCTCCTGTTTCCAGATGCTATGGGATGCAGTAGCCCTGCAAAAATGAGGATAAGTGGATGCTGGGGGAGGTGTGAGAAACCTGCCATGCCAAGAAGTTGTATTTCTCTGTAAGGGTCTGTTTGCATATTCTGTGTTACTGAGCTGGCCTACCAATATCACATTTACATTAGAAAACTGATTCCAGTGCTACAAAAACCATGACAGAAGTCATCCTGCTGACAGCAGTGAAGAATAGTTTGCCAGAGCGAGTTGCTCTTAGTGGCAGCTCAGGTTTCTAGCCTAGAAAAAAAATTCAAGCAGCGATAAAAGGTGATGAAGGTCAGGTCCCAGCTCCATGACATGCCCAGGAAAGACAAACCTCTTCCTCTTGGATATTTCCAGGTTTCTACGACAGTGGAGACGTTCCAGGACCTGTCACTCCCAATCCCAGGGAAGGAGGACTTGGCCAAGCTGCACTCTGCCATCTACCAAAACGTGCCAGCTAAGACCGGGGCATGTGGGGACAACTACGCCTCACAAGGCTGGATTGCTTTCATCATGGAGTATATCCGGAGGTGCGTTTCCTGTGCAGGACCTCTTTTTTTTCTGGGGTTTGCCCTGCAGTGCTGGAAGGCAGCTGTCCCTAGCCAGTGCTGTTTACAGCAGAATGTCAAGCGTAACCATTCCTGGGCCACACAGGTCACAGGTCTTTGAGGCTTTTCATGTAAACCAGTTGCTGCTGTTTCTCTTGTTCAGTCACACAGCTGGAGATCTCTTGTGCAGCTGTAATCCCTCACTTACTTCTGCCTTTAGCTCAGTCTTGCCCTCCAGAGAAAATTAACTTCTGGTGCAGTTTTCCCAATAATTTCCAGTTGGAGCAATCACAGTGGGAACATTAACTGAGAGAAATCATTCTTTCCCTGCTCCCCTGGGATGTGTGATGAGCTTAGGACTTACAGCTAGAAGGAAACCCATCATCCATTTGGGGTTTTGTATGCCAGAGCATCCAGCTATTTTATGTATAATTCTTTCTCTTAATCCCCTCTTTTCTGCAGATTTGTGGTGTCCTGTATCCCTAGCTGGTTTTGGGGTCCTGTTGTGACACTGGAGGATTGCCTTGCTGCCTTTTTTGCAGCAGATGAGTTGAAGGGTAAGTTATCTTCAGGGGGGGTCTGACAGCACAAACCAAGGAAAACCGCATGGAGGAGTATTTCACATGCGTTTTGGAGGCGGATTAAATCTCCTGGAAATCCTGCCTCAGTATTTCACTTAGAGACTGGCAGTACCAAAAGCTGTCAGTTCAGCATCTCTGAGCAGAAGTGAGTTTTTCCACCTGCTCAGGGGTGGGAAATGCGGGTGAGAGTGTCCTCAGCAAGGAGCAGACATAGCTGTTGGTTGGTTGTCAGTGCTGTGGCTCCTCAGGTGCCTTAATTTCTTCACTCTCTCCATCAACTCCTTAAGCTCTAGAGGACTCAAACAATTTGCTGTGTTCACTGGTGTTGGTTGTCAATTCCATACTGTTCTGCTAGTTGTCTGCATTCTCTTGTTGCCTGCACTTATTGAGAGAAGTGTTTGGTTTGATCTTTTCTCACCCTGGTTTCCCCAAGAGTTTGCTTCACTTGGTTTCTCTGCACTGGATGGAAATGTAGCCGTGTCTGAGTAACTGCATAGCGGCTTTCTTCTCTTTCTCTGCAGGGGACAACATGTACAGTTGTGAACGGTGTAAAAAGTAAGTTTGCATTATGTGTATCGTGTTGTATTTCTCAAACTTTTATTTCTCTGTACTGCTGTCAGACGTTTTGCTATGGCCTCAGCCTGGCCGTTGCTGAGTGGCAGGTAAACTCTGCCCTGCCTTATTCTAGAGTTCTGGTCTTGCGATGTCACTGGCTGCACACAGGAAAAGTGCTGGCTTTGAGGGAAAAGAAAGGGATGATGCATTCATATCTTTGGATATGAACAGGGATGTAGCTTGTAGTAATGGAGCTACTGTATTAGAAAGAAGAGGCACTGCTCGTGCCATGCCTCATTTGGGAAAGAGCTTGAATTTTTTTGCTGCTGGAATTCAGGATTTGTCCTGGATTTCAAAGTGAGCAAGACTCAGCCTTGCTTTCAGCATCCCTTTGCTTTAGAGATTTCTCACGGCTAGTTTCTTTTCATCCCTCAGACTGCGGAATGGAGTAAAGTACTGCAAAGTCCTCCGGCTACCAGAGGTGAGTAGAAGCACTTTGTTTCCTAGTTTTCTTTTAGCAGCCACTGAGGAGGTCAGGAGGCTAGAGGTGGGACAGAAATAGCAGTTTGTTTTGGGGACAGTCTCGTATCTTGACCAGAAGCGACTTCCCCATTCTAAGCTGATGAGCCATCAAGATTCATGACTAACAGGCGAAGAACTCTTCCAAAGATCAGACCACAGAGATGTGCTGTTTTATCAGAATACCCCCAGTGAAACTGCACCTTGGTGTTCTCTGTCCTTGCTCTTCTAGATTCTTTGCATCCACTTGAAACGGTTCCGGCATGAGGTGATGTATTCCTTCAAGATCAACAGTCACGTCTCTTTCCCCTTGGAAGGGCTGGATCTGCGACCTTTCCTAGCCAAGGAGTGCGTCTCCCAGATCACCACCTATGATCTCCTGTCAGTCATCTGTCACCACGGCACAGCAGGCAGTAAGTGCCTCTTCTGTGAGTGCAGGCAGAGGTGAACAGGAACGGGATGAGTGTGAGCAAAGCAGGAGCGTGTTCAGGACCAGCCAACACCTCTCCTGGGGTGAAGTGAAGTATACCTGCCCCCTCCATTCCCAGGCTTGCTCAGCCTCTGCCCTTTGAAGAGTGAACCGAGCAGCTTCTGGCAGATCCCCTGCAGCTATTTCAGCCTCACCCTGGGCTGGCTTAAACCCTTTCCTGATGTTCAGTCTCACTGAAAAGCCCTTTCCAAGAAGGCAAATCAGGGTGATAGTGCCAGGCTCCCCTGCTCCCGCAAAGCTTGCCTGAACAGGAATTTATGCCTTTTTTGTGTGTTTGTTTTGGCTCTCTGTTCTCTGCCAGCAGCTAATCCTGTTTGTGCTGCTGACGTTATCCCAGGCCTGACTCCTGTCTGCATTCCAAATCCCAGCGGTGTCGTGTTTGCTCCGTTACAGGTGGGCATTACATAGCCTACTGCCAGAACGTGATCAACGGGCAGTGGTACGAGTTTGATGACCAGTATGTCACTGAAGTCCACGAGACCGTGGTACAGAACGCAGAAGCCTACGTCTTGTTCTACAGGTGAGCTGTGCCCCGGGTGCTGCAGTCCCTTGCTGGCTGCAGAATACCTGGAAACGTTTTTGGAAAACTACATTTTCAAGAGTCGCTTATTTTCTTTTCATTTCCCTACTTAAGCAAAAGCAGTGAAGAAGCTGTGCGAGAGCGGCAGAAAGTCGTGTCCCTTGCCAGCATGAAGGAGCACAGTTTACTCCAGTTCTACATCTCTCGAGAGTGGCTCAATAAATTCAACACCTTTGCTGAGCCTGGTCCCATCACCAATCACACCTTTCTGTGCTCTCACGGAGGTAAGTCAGTGCTGCTGGACCTGGGGCTGGCAAATCTCAGCTTTGCCTTTGTGCTGCAGAAGAAAAGCTCCAGCTGTAGCCCTCACGCAGTGTACGCTGCAGTAGGATCCACTTCTTTGGCAGAAACTCCAGCCCGCTCAGGGAGGGATGAGACAATTACCCCGTTGTCCTGCTGCTTAGAGGCCCGGAGGGATGTGTAGTGCTGGGAAACAACAGTTTTCAGTTCTCTGTTTGTTTTTAAAAACAAACCTGTAGAAGGCAGATAAAGGCAGCATTTATCTGTGGTACGCTATCGGCAAGCGTGCCTGTCAGTGTTTGTTTGGGGAACGGAGCGCAGGCTACTGAAGAGGGCCGATACCGTGTCCTACTGCTCTGCTGCTTTATCTGTCGTGCTGGGAGCCCTCATGTTTATAAATCTCCAATCAGAAATAAAGCATTTGATTAGAAATGAACACTGTGAATTGAGAAACCTCCACAATTAATGAACTTTTGACTGTCTTCCATTAGCAGAGGAAGCAGATTCTGGATTTGGGGAGTTTTCAGTAAGGAAGATCTGCCTTTTTTATTTGTGTCCTTACCCAGCAGTAATGAGTTCCCTGGTTAACTGTCCCTCCTGCCTTTCCTCCACAGGGATCCCTCCTAATAAATACCATTACATCGATGACCTGGTTGTGATTCTGCCCCAGAATGTCTGGGAATATCTCTACAACAGGTGAATATGGCCACTTCATTCTTCCTCCCAATGAGTTTTGGTTTTTGTTTCATACCTCGGGCAGTGACTAAGACATGATCCCTTCCCAGGGCACCTTAAAGGTACACAGTACTCGGTATGGACTGGCAAAGACTTGCATTTAGTAGAGCTTCCTAATCTAAACCAAAAAGTTTTAGCAGTGCATTGTCCCTGAGCAATATTGTGGCTGTCACTATGCTGAGTAAAGGCAGTGCTCTCCATTCAGAAAACAGCTGCAGTTGCACCTCCTTCACCAGCGTCTGTAGCAGTATAAAAATCCATCTCCGTAGGATTCAGAGCAGGGAAGCATTTCTGTTCTCTGGCAGTTCTCCATTCCCCTCCCTCTCTTCCTGTGCTCAGGTTCGGGGGCGGCCCTGCTGTGAACCATCTGTACGTGTGCTCCATTTGCCAAGTGGAGATCGAAGCCCTGGCCAAACGGAGGAGAATTGAAATCGACACCTTCATCAAGGTTCGTATGGGAGGCATCTGGCAAAGGGCAGAGGTGGGAAACAGAGACCCACAACAGACAGCGGGAAACTCTTCCCCTGTTTTCCAGAACAGCATGACCAGGAGATTGATCTTGGGGTTTGGCAGTGCTGGTGGCACGGGGAGGGGCAGCTGGAACACGATAACGCCGTGTGTGGCCGCACGCAGACGTGAAGTTTGAAACCATCCTAGTCTCCTGCCTGCTGTAGTGAGCAGGAGCAGGTTGTGAGGAAGGTGTTAGAATTCCCTGGGGATGTTCTGAAGAAGGGCAAGGCAGCCTTACTGTTAACAGAAGGGGCTCCCCAGATCTCAGAAGTCACTAAACCCTTCCTGCATGTCTCTCCTCTGCTCTCTCAGCTGAACAAGGCTTTCCAGGCAGAGGAGTCTCCGAGCGTCATCTACTGTATCAGCATGCAGTGGTTCCGCGAGTGGGAAGCCTTTGTCAAGGGGAAGGATAACGGTAAGAAGCTGGAGACCTCTGGAATCTGTGGGGCTGAGAGGCAGCATGGAAACAAGTGCATTTCCCAGGGGCATCTCCTCCGCGAGCGCTGCACCCCACTGCTGTGACTTGAGGCTGAAGGGAGCTCAGACACCAGCCGCTCAGACTGCCTGCAGGTCCCCATGGGCAGGGCAGAAATAACAAGAGAACGAGCTCGGGAAATAAGCTGAATTGGTGGCAATGTGGGAAGCAGGATGGTTTGTGACGTGTTCTTCTCTTCCAGAGCCACCCGGACCCATTGACAACAGCAAGATCGCCCTCACCAAAGCCGGCGGCCACGTGCAAGTGAAGCAGGGTAAGGCTGGCGCTCGCTGTCGGGTAGCGTTCCGAGAAGGCGAAGGGGACCGTGCCACTGGTTTCAGTCCCTGGGGTGGGGGCTTTGGGGGGTCGGGACTGTGCAGCCGCAGGGACCCCTTGTGCCTCGCTCTTCCTGGGGGTGAGCAGGGGGAGGTGGCTGGAGAGGAGGACGTCCTCGTGGTGTGAGGCACCAGCCTTTTCCTCCGAGGGCTGCACAGGGCCACGCCTGCTGGCTGCACATCTGACCGCTGCTGTGTCCTTCTCAGGTGCCGACTACGGGCAGATTTCGGAGGAGACGTGGATTTATTTAAGCACACTGTATGGAGGGGGCCCAGAGATTGCCATCAGACAGAACGTGGCCCAGGTCCAAGAACTGGAAAACCTACATGGGGAGCAGAAGATTGAAGCGGAGACGCGAGTGGTGTGATCTGTGCGGGATGGGGCAGGGAAGGTATGGCACAGATACGTCGGTGTGGGGTTAGAAGGCTGGGGAATCCCGAGGAGTCAAACCTCTTCCATTGTCTGGTACTCAAAGGTGTGTGCAGCTCCCGTCACCACTTCTGGGGAAGGCAGGTTTCCTCCACCGTCCTTTTGTGTGGCTTTGAATCGCGGGGTGGTGCTGGGCACGACTGGGAGAAGAGCAGCTTCTCTGTAGCTGATCTCTGGGTAAAGCTGGGGAGCGAGACTGCAGCCAGACTTCACCGGGACACGGTGTGGCCCGAGCTCTCTCCCTTTCGTTTGCTTACAAGAAATCAGCACTCCCCGCTTGCCCCCAGTGAACTGAGTCTGCTCCTTTGCAGGTTTTGCTTTTGGCACTTTTCTTTTTAACTCAAATGTATAAAGATAATGAAACATTATTTATGTTTCCAGCGAGCAGCGTTGCAACTAGAGAAACCTGTTATTTGAAGCTGACTATAGCCACATGGTCTCCTGGGAGTTTTGTGCTGGTGGGGCACAGCTCTCACAACTTCCTAGTTTTGCTCTTTTTCTAATTCCTGCAAATTCACTTGCAATCAACTAAGAAATTTTGAAAGAGGCGCTTTCTTTCTCCCCTAGTCCCTAAAGCCACACCTTCCTGCAGATTTTTTTTTTCTCCTTGTATCCGATTTCATATGTTTAGCACCTTTTCAGAGAAGAAAGCTGGCAGATGAGTCCTTCCCCATGGCTCCCTCCGTCCTCTTTCTGCTAAAGCTCTGGGCAGCTTGGTAGCTCTGGGCCGCAGCTTTTGGGGGTCAGCTCACAGGGGTGCACAGGAGCAGCGTTGTCAGAGCGGGACCCAGGACAGCTTTGATCAGACTTAAGGACTCTTGGTTCATGACCCCGTCCTCAGCCCGACCCTGCTGTAAGCCACGATCTCTCCCCACATCAGGGGAAGCAAAGGGGGCGTAAAGCTCTGGGCAGCTTGGTAGCTCTGGGCCGCAGCTTTTGGGGGTCAGCTCACAGGGGTGCACAGGAGCAGCGTTGTCAGAGCGGGACCCAGGACAGCTTTGATCAGACTTAAGGACTCTTGGTTCATGACCCCGTCCTCAGCCCGACCCTGCTGTAAGCCACGATCTCTCCCCACATCAGGGGAAGCAAAGGGGGCGTGAGGGACGAGGAGGAGCTGCTCAGAGCCCGTTCAGAGGGGTCCCCCTGGCCCGGGCAGTCATTCAGAGCTGGGACAGCCTGGCTGAGCCGGCCCCAGGCTCCTGCAGCAGCTTTTAGGGAAGAAGCTGCTTTCTGCAAACAAGCCCCCACCTGTGTGCTGAGGTCATTCCAGCTTCTCGCCACAGATGTCGTTTGTGTGCACAGTGGCTCATTTAATGAACAGAAATAACTTGCTCCCCAATCTGCTCCCACCAACGCAACGAAGGAGCAGCCGGTAGCGGGCAGGGGAGAGGCGTGAAGACAAAACAGGCTGAACACCCCTGTTCTCAGCAGAGCTGCTCTTAACAGTTCTTCGTCTTCTGAAGCAGGAAGGCAGCAGGGAAATCTCTGCAAGCGTTCCACTGCAGTTCAGGGAAATCTCTGCAAGCGAGAGGTGGCCCCTCATGGGCAGAGGAACCAAACTGTGTGTTCATGGTGCTGGGACCCCAGCGATGCCACAGCACTGAGCCTGGCCTTGCTGGTACCAGACTCAGCCTGGGGCTGGGACCTCCTGGCCGCTCACGTAAAAGAGAGAGGGGGGGGAAGGAAAGGCTCTTCTTTAACTTAGCAAGTGGGGAAGGGTGAGGGACAGGAGTGTTTGGAAAGAATGCGGCCTTCAGTTTTGTTTTAGACCAAATGTTTGCTGCAAACAGCAGCTTCTTTAAAAAGCGTCTGTAGAAGGTTCAGCGTGTTCATTTCAGTATCCTGCTTGTACATAGCCAGGCCCGAGGGGAGGTCAGGGAATGAGCCACTGTTGGGATTTCCCGTTGTTTTCAGCTGTCTCTGTTAGCCACTGCAGCCACCTTCGAACCCGCTGCAGAGCCCGTGGGGCTGCATGTCTGCGTTGTCCGTGCCGTTCAGAGGATGCTGTACAGATCGTCATAACACTCCCATGCTTCAGTGTTACACTTTGTGCTGAGAATGTGTTACAATAAATACATGTGCATTCAACACCTCGCACGACTCACTGCCTGCTGCGCGGGGCCAGAGGGTCCGACACTTCCAGGGGAGTTTACAGGGTTAGTGAAGCAAAAAAATTTAAATTTAAAAATCCCAAGTTCCTGCTGCTGAGAAGCCGTGCAGGAACAGATGCTGCAGAGCAGCGGCGAGCTTGGGTAGCCCAAGTCCAGTAAATCATTCTGCACTCGTTCAGAGGAGGGCGCCTGCTCCTTTCCCTCTGCTTTCACAGCGATGTCCTCTGCGCATTCCATCGACCCGCTCCAGCGGAGCTGCTCTCGGAAAGCCCGTGTCGGAAGCTGGTGCTACTTGTGACTATCATCACTGTGAAAGCAACGTGCAAGGGAAGTGGCTGAAGTTTCATTGATTTGCTCTGGGTTTCTAGAAGGGTTTTCTGTCGGGCTGGAGATGTCGTTACTCATCTAATCCACTTCCCTGGTAACATTTGTGTGAGAGCAGCGTTGCTGCCGAGGCCCCAGGGAGCCCTGCGCTTGTGCCAGCCTGTCACCACATTGTGTCACCATGATTTAACAGAGCTGCTAAAGCAGGTGGGTGATACGAGCGCTGCCCGAGGGGCAAGCGGACCAGAACCGTTGGTGGATGACACCGCCTGGAACACCCAAAGAAATGGAGCTGGAGGTGGGTTAATAAGAACGTGCAGCTTGTTCTTTATCAACTTGAAGTCAACCGTCAAAAACTTGCATCTCACAAACAAACCCATCACCTCAGCAACGCAGAACAGCTCAAAATGTTCCAGGAGACGTTAACAAACACCCTCCCCGAGAGAGGGGATTATTCAGTGTCTAGACAGACGGCTCTAGTGCTGCTCTGGCAAACCCATAGTTGTACTTTTTGTTACCCTCTGTCCGTTAGAACACTCCAAGCTTTGCTCTGCATCTATATTTCATTTGCAATCTGGCGGCAGCCCTGATTTCTCCAGCTCCCCCAGTAGGCAGCTGCGGGATTTCTGAGCACGCGGCTCAGACGCAGCTCTGGGACCCATCGCCAGTGGAAGCTGCATGTTTGGCTCAACTCGTATCGGTTCTTTTTGCAAATCGCTTCATTTTCCCCTTATCAGGTCCCTTGCTGATTGCAAAAAAGGGGGAGATGAAAGAACCATCAGACTGATGGAGCTCACCTCCCTGTTCAGATTATCTGCTCCTTCCCCCGGTCTTCCGGGAGCGCTGGGGAGAGTTCAGTTTCTGGCGCTGCTCCTCTTCCCTTGGCTCCTCTCCTGCCCAGACCACGGCCCCACAAACAGATCATTTGGATACAGACAACAAATACGCCGCACTCTCTGCCCCGTGCTCCTGCTGTGTCACATCTCAGCCCACGGAAAGGGGAAACAGCTCATCCCTTGGGATGCAGGCACGCGTACCCCACACCTTCACCTCCGCGAGGGCTCGCTCACGCAGCCGCAGCCGCCCTGTATCCCACCGGTGCCCATGGCACACGCCCCCGCCCCGGGATGGCCACAGTCCGCAGCATCCCGAACGCTGTGACACAGCCGGCACAGGTAAAGCTCGGTTTATTTTCTTCCTGGTTATTGCTCAGCTCAGCTGCAGTGTCCGGCTTCACTCCCACGTGCTCGTGCTGTTTCTGTGTAAGGTGAGCAGTGCTGATACTGTTAAAGACAAACCAAAGTTTGAGCCGGGCAGACCCCCCCTCCTATTCATCGTTCCCCAAAAACACAAAGATGAGCTGACTGTTCATAAACAGATTTGTCCTGAATAGACAGGGATGTTAATTAGCGCTGGCAAAGAAAACCTGAAACTTGCTTAAAAAAAAAATAAAGTAGAAACTGGACCCTAGGAAAAAAATCTTTCTACAGCCGCTTCAATTGAAATTACCGGTCAGGTGTCACCTGCTACGAGCTGCACAACTGCAAATCCTCATGGCTCCTGCATGAGGCCACTTCCACCGAACTGGACCCGGAGATGACAGAGAAGCTGCACAAAGGCTGCTCAGGGTTTGTCCCAGCTACAGAGACACGAATCGCCAGCCCGGCACCATCCAACAGAACTGTAAATACCCCACCCAGACTTGCAGAAACGCGTCTGGTTTCCAGATCATTCACTGAAGGCAAACATTGCTGTGCTTCACAGATCTGCACGTTCACCCGTGCACGTGCACACGAGTTACCTGCCAGCAGGTTCAATGTGCAAACAATCGGTGTCAAAGCCATCTGCCAGGATTCCCAGATAAATCAAAGCATCCCCACGGGCGTTACACGGTGCAGCGCTGGGAGAGGGGGTATTTTCCCCAGGTTTCCAGTTCTCGTGACCAGAACCACCCGCCCGTCCCAAGTACACCATGACTCCAAAGAGGACAGGGCCGTTTTCCTTCTCCTCAACCCCATAAAAAACCCCAACCCCTTCAGTCTCTCCAGTGCCAGCTGGAAAGGTAAAAATCTGATAAAATTGTGTCTCAGAGTGACCTGATGGGCACGAGCTATGTGGGACAGCCGCTCAAAGGCACAGCCAGAGCCAAATGAATCCTCCAAACAGCGGTAAATGCCACTATGAAATGATATAAGAAAAGAAACAAAAATCCAAGTACCGTGAGAATGTGTCACCGCTCCTCTGCCCCAGCAGCCAGGCACAGGCACTGCCTGGAACAGGCTCTTTCTGCTCATTCCCTGTATGCGGTGCGGCTGGAGGCGAGACCCAAACCCACGCCCTTGTTGAGGGGAACAATGGGGAGTACGAGCAGCTGTGGGGAGTTCCAGGCTGTGACATTTACCGCAGCTGAACCCGCCAGTCCAGTCCCAGCTGGAGATGGTTGCGGGAAGGCAGAAAGCTCACCCGCGGTGCCTGGGGACACCAGAGAGCTCTGCCCCAGCAC